TTGCAGCACCTGTCACAGTGCACCAGCTGTAAATACGTGTCCTCCTCTCACACTCATCAGCATGGAAGCAAAGAAGTTGGACAGGATAAAAAAAGCACCACGTACCAAAGGCACATGCAAAAATAGGTATTCTATACATGGTTGACATTTCCTCAACGTCCTTAATCGGTCGACCTTTTGCGATGCACATTCGACAAAAAGTGACTTGACTCAGCAGATAGAGCTGACTGCCAACGGACCTTTCAGAGGAAGGAAGGAATGGAGGGAAGGATAAATCCCCGGCTAATTTGGAGCAAGTATAAGCAGGCTGAACTTATGCATTTTTGAAGCACTTGGGACTGATATCAAGGGTACACGAAAATGCTAACGTGCCGAATTCATGCCAGGGCGTAAAAAAGGTCCTAGAAGAAAAATTAAAGTGAAATAAATAAGTGCCAGTATTAAGTTAACAACGAAGCACTAATCTGGTATGAGCCAACTATGTTAGTTGACTTGCGTATATTATCGATAACCTTGAAAGTGTGCCCATCGAAAGCCTCGTAGCAGTCTTTCGAGGTCTAACTTCGTTAGCAACGGACGGTATGAGTCAAATTACAATTACAATCTAATTATTATTAGAGCAGGACTTGCATTGGCCTGCTTCACAGATGAACTGCCCTGGGTGTTTTGATTTCGTGGCAGGCAATAGCGCCTTTCTCGAGGTAGAAAACCGAGTTATCGAAAAAATAGGAAAAGCGTTGGGACATATCAATTGCTGAAAAGTAATTAAACGTCTGTTCATTAGACCAGCAGAAAATGCCCTTGAAAGCAGGCACATAGTCATAAGTACTAAAGAAGTAGAAGAAGTAACAACGAAGAACAAAGAGACCGAGTGGCAATTTCTGGTTAATTAGGCATCATCAGCCAGCTAATACTGATTCGGACAGCCAAGTATAAGAAGCGGGATTCCTTGGTCCTTGATTCTGACAATGAGTTCCTAACAGGGAGTCGAAAATAATACTACTCGATGCTGCTCACAGAAATTTGTTTCACTACCGTCCCAAGGCTGCAATTATTTAAGAGTTCAGACACATGTGTAATCGATTGTCTGCTCTTATCGCAAGTTATCAGTGAGTTTCTCAAAAGATTGCACGCGTTGATTTCTGGCAAAAATACCATAAGTTAACAATGGCTCATAATTTCACCTGAAAGCTCTTAGAAAACACAGTTATAGGACCTTTTTTTTCATAATGGGACTGAAAATGCAAAGAAAGACTAGTTTGGAATTGTAGCTGCTTCTTATAGCGGAAGTATGATTATGTCATATCCGTGAACTAGCAGTCCAATTTACAGCATATATTTTACCAAGATCACCTCATGAAATACCACTCTCCGCAAAGTAATGGGAAACGATGTGTCCTGTAAAACGTCCCAACGAAAGAATAATTCCCGCTCAACTGCCCGTTTTGTCTATCACAGGCGCTTTGCAGAACTTAACTCGATGTGCCATTACCCATGTCTAAAACTAGGCCACCGACATTCCCCTTCTCCCTCCCCCCTCCTCCTCAGCGCAGTTGATGCTGATGATTCATTGCGATATGAAAACAGACTTGAGGTACATACGCAGTTGCCCTTTTGAGGTTCAGCTACACCCCCCGAACGAACATTACGCCACGGATACGGTCAGATTCGATAACAGACAGAACGTGTGTGAAGAGTGATAGGACCTACATCGGA